TCAATCCTTATTTTCCCCATTTCCCAACCCCTCCCCCCTCCCCATAAATAATGACCACTCCCTTAACTCCCCTTTGTTGTCTAGTAATTCCACACTAATTATATGTACAATGTTTTGTCTGGTCCTGGCAATATGAAAGTACAAATTAATAATGATCAACAAGCATGGAAGTAAATGTCCCTTTTCCATTCTTTTGTAACAAGTTAAAATAACCCTTTATAACCCTTTATAGTTCCTTAGCCATCAGGAAAGCACTAATGACCATACCGCGGTGAAACACTTTGCTTGACTTTAGTTAATTATAGATATTATTTTAATTGAATATAATATACACTTAAAAATAAACCTGACCCTAAACTCTAACCTAACCAAAAGGTATTGTATTAAGGTAATCTTAGAAAAAATCTTAAAGAGACCATATGGCCTTGGGGGAATGCATTTTTAGACAAAATAAACTATAAACCAGTCACATTTGTTCTTTGATGCAGGGCTCGAAACTTGCGGTATCCCGATATCCACAAGATATCAGATTTTAATTTTGGAACTGGGTATCATAAGCTCAGTATCCCAACTGGATACTAGAAAAACTTAGAAATTGCGATAGTAGATAATCATCTAGACGTTTGGCATGTTTCCTAACTTCAATGTCTACGGATTTTGGCAGAATATTTAAAAAAAAAATTTCACAAACGGTACTTTCTTTCGTATCGCCGCAGTGTGTTATTTTCAATTTTTTCGAATTTCAATACATATTTTTATTATTGAAACTAAACGCCTGGTTTTTGCTCAGCAACTGAAGGCCTGGTTGCAAGGTACAATTTTGCCTTGCTTAGATACTGGAAATAGAATATCTAGTATCCAAATCTGGGTTACTATATTTCAAGGATGGATACTAGATTCTATGATGGTGGTATCCACTTGGATACTGACAAAAATATCAAATTTCGAGCCCTGTTTGGTGGTAAATATTCGAATGATGGCCCATGAATCTGGAAATATTTCCACTTTCTAAAGTTATAGATCAAACTTTGGGCGACGTTATTTAAGTAATTTACTAGATGCTGCAGACATGATCTGATGATGGCGGACGGGGGTCACAGAATGCCCGGGACAAATTGACTACCCCCTTATTCAACAAACTGCACATGCTGCCTTTGAATCCCACGGGCTGAGGCAGCATTTCCCTTGCGATAGTAACTTCTAGTTAGAATAGGGCCATTGTTTGGAGATCGGTGGTTTTTTAACATAGATGCCGACTGCTGACAACAGAGGAGCTACGGGGCCATTACCACTACATATAAGGCTGATGGAATTAAGGTATCAGTTTACCGTCACCCGCTCGTGTGTTATTGACAGCCGCATGAAATTTTCATTATTTCAATATTTTTTCATTATTTGTCAAATTTGTATAGCATTAGTGTTTCAAAAATGGCTTTCTGTTGAAATTTTTGGCAAATACCGACTCAGGGCTGCAAACAAATATTTGACTTGACAGGATATTTGTTCGATCACTTTTAATTTTGGTCGGACATAACTTGAATTTGGTCGGACAAAAACCAACATCACTAAATTTGGTCGGACATATATACAGTGCGTCACAAGATATATATAATTAGTCACGAGACAAGTATGTATGCCAATTCCGGCGCATCGTTTTAAAAGTAAAATTAAATGCTAGATCACCTTGTAAATTTTATTGAGTGAATTTGCAATCGGATTTTTGTCACAGCAAAAAAATGTATGTGACAAAATGTTGGATTTTTTCATTAGAAATTCCAATTTTTAGCTCAAAATTTGACAAATTCAAATCGTGGAAAATAATGAATAATGAAAAAATCCGCATCAACTTTTGAAATTTTAGGTGACGGTAAACTGAGACCACAGAATAAAGATCAGTAACAGAAGGGCCATGCACTCAGCGGTGCAACGTGTCTGCGTTTTTTTTTATGCAAAAATATGCAGTTTACTGGCCAGAAGGCAGAGCAGCCAGCCAGTACAGCGTGTTTATTGGCCAGAAAATGTCATTGACTGGCTAGGAAAATGGTGGCCAACATGCATAATGCAACATGCGAGGACAGAAACTTCAAAGCTTCTTAGCTTCCGACGTAAGTGGCCCTTCTATATGGACCTTTATTCTATCCATTACCCAGGGTGAATTTGAGGGTGTATTTCCAAAAGATCTTCGGCACAGAACAGCGACTCAAACAAAATTTGGCACACGTTTTTGGCGCAGATTGATCGCAAATATTGATCTGGCGCAGAATGGTCCCGAAGATTCATTTGGTGCAGCAATTTGTAAAGATTTGGTGAAGCAATTGAGCATTTATATATTAGTATATTTGAAATATAATTTATGATTTGAGAGGAATTAAAAGCCAAATTTCAAAAATTTGGTGAAAATTTTGGAAATTCTCGAAAACCAAATATTTTTTCGCAACAATTTTCTTGGCGCAGGTTTTGGCGCAGCTTTACAAGAATTCAAAAAATCTTTGGCGCAGAACAATTGAGAGATTCACCCTGGTCCATTTCCGATCCCCCCCCAAACACAGAAGTGAGGGTGGTATTATCCCCCTCTTCCCAAGAGAGGGAGAATTTATAAGTATCAGATTCTCCAATTTGAGCATTCCACAATTTATTGTGGAAAACACAATAAAAGAGAGTCCTGGCTTTATAATTCAATATGCCACAGCATGCATGCTGCAGCAACTGAAATATGAACATTTTAGCTAAAACAGAAACTACATACTTTAATCTTGTCTTTAATCCTGTCTTTAATCTTGAACTTTGTGCTTCTTCTAGGTTTTTAAGCTTCGTATTTCAATCTTCGAAGTACTTTTTTCTGTTTTTCACAAAAACAGACCAGAACTTCGGTATACACATGGCAACTCTCGTCGCTACATGTCGGACAAAATTTTTAACTTTCTCCTGTTGAGTGATGGTAAATACCAACGCAGAAATTTCCAGGTTCTCACTTTGAAGGAAATTTCCTTAACCTGAGGAAATTTGGCCTTTTAACTTAATTTTTCATTCATTACCTGAAGGAAATTTTACTGAATCAGAGGAATATTTAAGGAATCTCTAAGGAATTCTTGGTAGATATGGAAGTGACTTCTTCCGACTTCCGCAGAAAATCAAAAATTCTCAAAATTTCGCAATCAATATGGCTGCCGCAACTGGAATCAAAGAAGCGAAAAATATTTTGCGCAAAGAACTAAAACGACGCCTTGCTGGCATGTCAGTTGAACTGAAACAGACAGAATCGGCTAGAGTCGCCACGAAATTATTTGCAATGAAAGAATTTCAGCAAAGCAAACGAATCTCACTTTATATGAGTATGCCGAACGAAGTGGACACGTTTGGAATCATGGGAAAAATATTCGAACTAAACAAGAAATGTTTTATACCACATTATATTGGCCCGATTATGAAAATGGTGGAATTGACCTCGATGGCAGATTATGAGTCGTTGCCACTTACGTCATGGAATATTAAACAGCCTGCCGACAATGATGACCGAGCAGACGCTTTAGAGACTGGGGGACTGGATCTGATAGTTGTTCCTGGGCTTGGGTTTACCAGCGAAGGGGCAAGACTTGGTCGCGGTAAAGGATACTATGACAGTTATATTACTAAGTCTATAAAACTCGGACTTAAGGCGCCAATAACTGTAGCACTTGCGTTTAGCATTCAGATGTGTGAGTCAGTGCCGATATCTGATCATGATATGATTATTGATCATGTGTTGTATGCAGACTGAAGTATTTGTTTAGTGAATATCGTTGATAATATACTAGTCTATTGGTGCTTATTGAGTTTCTCATGTTCATTGGTGGGTGGATTTCCCAACAGGCTAGTATAATTGATAGGGGATCCAAGGTACCTATGATTTTAGTGTCCTTATCGGAGAAAATGTGAAAGTCTAACCATTTACTGATGTCAATGTAAGGTGGCACTTTCTCTTCAGTTATTTTACCAAGGGTTGAATCCGGGTCTCTCAGCTTGAAAGTCAAGCATGGCAACCATACCACCTGGTGTAGTCAGTCAGTAGTCTGAGTATCTGGCTCTATTTTACAAAAAGGGCTCTATTTATCCCCACCCTCTATTTATCCCCCACGCTCTATTTATCCCGACTCTATTTACCCCCCCCCCCTCTATTTATCCCAGACTCTCTATATATCCCAACCCTCTATTTACCCCCACCCTCGATTTATCCCC